GCACATGGCCGCGCGACAGGGAGGCCGCCCCGCGGCGGCGCTTACCTCTGGAGAGGCGCTCCGGCTCCCTCCGACGGCTCGGGAGAAAGCCCCGCCGCTCGCGCACGCGCACTCGCGTTCTCGTGCCTCTCGCCCCCACGCGCGCCCCTCCGACAGGGCGCTGGTCCGCCCCGGCCCTGTCCGTCAGCATCCGTGAGAGCCAATCCGGTCGCACGGGAGGACGAGAGCGGTCACGTGGTATGGCCAGCCAATCACCAATATGCCCTGAGCAACACCCGCTCCGATGTCCCTGGAGGTTCGGTTGCTACCCAGCCCAGCCGGTGGGAGTAGGCACAGAGGCTGAGTGGGGCTCGATTGCTGAATGACTACATCAGTTCATACCTCGAATTCTAAATATGAATCGGAATCACCTGGGTGTCTTGCTACAAGGCGGATTCTAATCCAGGAAGTCTAGGAGGGGAACCTGAGAGTCTGCCTTTCCCACATGACGATGATCATCACCGTAAAATCTTGCTACCCAGAGCACCTGTCAGAAAATGATAGTTGTAGCCCCTGCTCCATGTTATCTGAAAGTTCTCTGTGACTAAACATGGGTATTCTGGTGGCACTCACCGTTTGGGCATTGGCTGAAGGAAAGTGTGTTTAATTCCCACATCACCTACCCTTGGTCTATGTAGCAGCAACCTATGCCTATTTGGTGGTTGGAGTGTGGCACCTAGAAGTGGGGACTGAATGTTTCTTATAAACAACACTGTCTACATTCATCCTAATTTATTGAACACTCATGTCTGAGTGGCACTGTGCTACACTCTTGGCAGGAGAAGTGACATAAGTGGTTTCTGCTTTCTGGAAGTGTACAATGTCATAGAACTACGCAGGTAGTCTCAGGAAGAAGCATATGGGGAAAACATGAAGGGAGCTAATGGTTTCAATCTTGGACAATTCAGGCGTAAGCCAGAGAGTTTGTAAAGTAACCTACCTCAGGGATCTTAAAAATTGTCCACATATCTTTGTCAAGAATTCCAGAATCTGGACATCAGGAAGCTCGGTCCCTCCGCCATCTCTCAACTTAACCTCCATCTAAGTGTTTTTATACTGGCTAGCATGAACCTTTGTTGTTCAGCATAGTCAAGCTGTTAAACTCAATAGTATATATACCAAAGTGATTCAAAGTTCTAAGTGCTAAATTCTCCAAAACCTTCCCCCAGTTATTCACACCAGGTGGTATGACACTGTTTCAAGCAGTTTTCTCTCACTCTTCACCAAGTGATCAAACTGCCACTTAGAGAAAACTTCACCCTTGTCAGTCTGCCTTGGGCCTGTCTGCCTTATCAGCCCCAGAAGGGCGGCCTGCTTAGCCATCTCAGGCATTGTTCATCACAGTGTCCCTATCAGAGGTGGCATAGCACAGAACTCGGTTTCAAGGAACACACTGAGACTGGAACAACAATGGTTCTGGCGATAGCAGAAGTAAATAAATGTCTAATCAAGACAAATATGCTTGAAAGCCCCAAAGTTTCTTTTGCTATCATTAAACCAGTGTATCTCAAGCCTGGCTGCACAGTAACGCTTTAAGGAAATAGATTTTGGGGACCCACGCCTATAGATTTGATTGGGATGAGGAGTAGAACCTGGGCAACTGTAGGTTTAAATTATTCCATAGGTGATTTGTATCCAGCTGCTTGAGAACACCCCCATTAGCTGCTAGGTGGAAAGACTCATTCTTTAACAAGAAAAAAAAATCAACTCTGTGACACAAATCACTAATGAGGTAAAGACTAAAAAGAGAGGAAAGTTTCCACATAATTTGTGAGAGTAGATTTTTTTAAAAAAAGAAAGACCAATAATTATTCTTGGTAATAGATACCCCAAAGATTATTTGGTGGAACAAATTGAAAAGCCAGGTCCACAACTAGATTTAGTTGCAGTGCTGGTTAACTAAATACTTTAAAAACAACAACATATTACCTTTTGTTAACCACAATAAACTAATCAACTCTTTGGTGATGTCTTCAGTTGTTTTATGCCCTTAACTAAAAACATATTTCTATTTAAGCTTTATTAAAAGTTATTCTCTGAGACTTTTCCCAAAGGGTGCAACACAGTCACCTGGGGTACTTGTTAAAATGCAGATTCCCAGCATCTCCTCCCACCCCAGACCTCCTCTAAGCCTCTACTATGGAAAAATCTGAATCCAGCACTAAATTTGAGTACAAGTACCTCCTGGTACAGAACATCTACATTATAGACAAACCCTCAAGTAAAAAAAAATAACTGTGCTATTAATTTGCCATGCTAGCTAAATAAAAGAGATGGATCTATTTTAAAGAATTCCAGGATATTCTCAATCCTCTTTACTGGGGTTTTACCAAATTCTGTTATTTTTTTAAATAAAGTGATTAGTGCCTGGATCTTAGAAAGCTATTCTTGGAGCAGAGTTTTCCTATGGAGTGATATTTGCTTGAGTGAAGTATGACCTAGTTTTTACTGAACTAGTGAGGTCCCATCAGAACCTGTGCCAACACCAGCCATCTTGCTTGAAAGTGACTTTATTTGCCACATCAGAAATATGGAATATGATGTGTGAGCCTGAAAACTAGCTTCCCTCCTGTTCTAACACTTTTAAAAATACATTTTACAGCATTCAGATGGTGGAGACATTTTTCTCACCTTGTAAACTTGTAGCTTTATATACTGGGTAAAGTAAGGACAGTTTCACTGATATTTAACCAGAATAAATAAGGTAAATTTTTAACTAGAAAAAAGCATTTATTTTTCTCTTTGTGAGTGTCATCATTACAAAAAGAGGCAAAAGGAAACAAAGAGATTCTGGTCGAAGCATAAGAATTTGAAAAAAGTACACCCAGGCTGTCATTCATTTCTGTTTCTCAGTCTGCTTGCCTCCATGCATAACCTGACTGTCCTGTCTCAGGACATGGATATGTTAATACCTGATACAATCATGAGTTAGCTTAAGCAAGCCTTCACACTACCCCTGCACCAAAAATTGCTTAGCAAGAAACTTGCATACATTTTCTGGAAGAAAGAGGTAAGACATAAACTACCAAGTCCCCAGAAATCTACCCATTGCTCCATCATGACCAGATCCCCCATAGACTGCCTTATAATTGTTAATTATATTCTGATCTCTCTAGCCATAAATAGCTGCTGTAAACTTAAGTAGTTTCATTCATGAAAACCCAAAGATTACCCAAGATTCTAGTCTCCATCTGTCATATAAATCTAGCTAGGATAACATTTTATGTCTGTGTGTCTGTATTTTAATAACTGGCCCCTTTCTTCTATTCATTATAACTACTTAACATAACACACTGCATGTTTTTTAAATAAGTTTATGTTCTTTATAGACAACTAAAGAATATATTCTTTTTTATAAATTTCAGAAAGTATTCAGACATCAAATATATATAGAAGAATATGATATGCCCCTCTGCCTGACCCAGTTTAAGAAATAAATCATCATTAATACAGCTCCCATGTACCCCTCTGTCTTGCCAATGGGTTTCAGCCCTTGGCAACTTCACTATGGATTCAGTGTGACCAAAGAAATTGACAGCAAAATGTTCTTTGGGGTGAAAGGGTTATACCCAACTTTATTTCCAGGTGGCAGGTCAGTCACTAGAATCCCATTCACTCACAGCGAGTCTGAATGCAGCAGGCCAGTCTCTGCCTCTGGGCCCCTCTGTCTGCACAGCCATCCTCTGGGCCTCTCTCCCTGCACAGCCGTCCCGCACAGTCGTCCTGCGCAGCTGTTCTCTGGGCCTCTGTCCTCAGTGTTGCCACCACTCCAGCCTCTGCTCTGCTCGCCTGCAGCCTTGCAGCCCTGCCACAATGTCGTGCCCAGAGCACTGGGCTGAGCTATTTATATAAAGTCAACAGCCATGTATTGCCCACAGGTGTGCAGTGAGCTAGTCAGCCATGGCCAGGTGAGAATCCTGGCCACAGGAACTCTCATTTTATCCACACCCTCCCAACAAGTTGATTGTTTAGGTGGAGATACCACACACAGCAAGTTCAGCCACAAAAGGAGAGAGAATGGCTTATGGATGAAAATACAATATTATATGCATATAATAGAAAACAAATGTAAATGGGGAAAAATTCTACTGAATAGAATGTTTGGAAGTTCCCAAACTGATATAACAAAAAGATAACAGAGCTGGAAATTCCACATTATCTGATTCCTGTGTTTTAAAACTACACAATTAAACCAGGAAAGCAGGTAACTTATAAAAGACACTGCAAGTAGTTTGGAGCAGGGATAAGGTGAGGAATCATGTCTCATTCATTCAACAAAAACACATGTGCCCTTCTTGTAGCTCATTTTAAGAGAAGCCATCACAAATAAAAATAAAAAGTTGTGTTGCAAGTGACGCACATAACACCCTAAGAAAGCATACAGGAGGAGCACCAATTCTAATCGATGAAATCAAGGAAGACTTTCTGCCAGAAATGAGGCCTGAACTGAATTTCAAAGAATTAATTAGTAAGGGTTAGTGTCTTGCCTGGGCAAGTTGCCCAGAAGTTCACTATGGATTCAGTGAGATTGAGAAATGACAACAGAATGCTCTTGGGGTGAAATGGTTTATACCTGGCTTTATTTTCACAGCAGTAGGTAGAACACTAGGATCACATCCGCATCCAGCAGTCTGCAGGTCCATAATTACCCTCATCTCTGCCTCCACCCAGAGCACTGGGCAGAGCTCTTTATATAGTGATTCAGCCAATAATAGCCTATTGCCTATGGGTGAGGAAGAAGTAGCCTAGCAGCAGGCCAGTTACATCATCAAGTAGTTTAGGGTCAGGTGAGGATCCTGGCCATAGGAACTTTCCCCACAGTTAGCTACCAGAGGGCTAAAGGAAGGGTGTTCCAGGCCTAGCAACAGCCATTACAAAAGCACAAGAGCATGTGTGGTGTGGATAAAACGAGAGGTCCTGTGGCCAGGATTCTCACCTGGCCCTGGTTGACTAGCTCACTGCACACCTGTGGGCAATTTGACTCTATATAAAGAGCTCTGTCCAGTGCTCTGGGCATGACATGGTGACAGGGCTGCAAGACTGCAGGAGAGCAGAGCAGAGGCTGGAGTGGTGGCAGCACCAAGGACAGAGGCCCAGAGGACAGCTGTGCGGGATGACTGTGCAGAGAGG